AACAAGACAAAAGAGAGCGTTCAGCCTCAGTGATCTTCTTTTGTCTTTTTTAATTTATTCCTTTTTTACTAAATACAAATGTCCTATTTTCTATGACAAGGTTTTCGCAGGTAGGTGTATATTCTAAGGGTTTTTACTTAAATCTCCTTTTTTGTGTTTCTTTTTTGTTCATGTGTCCTGGATTAGGGAGAGTAACTCTAATGGGTTCGCCTCTCAGCTGTGCGGTCTGTGGTGAGTCTCACTCTCGCGTGGACGTGGTAGTTGCCCCCTTCTGGTCAGGGATCCCATCCTGTGGGGGGGACCACTCCTTAACCTTTCATTTCTGTATGAGGAGATCGGTTTATCGTCTTCTCTCTTTACCTTTCTTTCTTTGTTTCTATGTTTAGAGCAAAAGACGTCGAATAGAGGACTACCCCAGTTTTAAAATACCTCAGTGGGAGTTCGCTGATTGTGAGTTTKATCGTAAATTATTGTTAATAGAAGAACCTCGAGCTAGAAAGATATCATGGGTTTCCATGGATGGGATCCCTGTCCAGGGGGGAGGTACTACTTTTTCGGTAGARGAAATCCTGTCAAAACAAAGCGTTCCTCAATTGTCTACTTTGCACCTTCGTGATGCAGAGCGATTTGTGGCGGGAGGTCTCCATGTTGACCTGTCTCTATAAGAAGTCATTTTGCAACAGCATCCGAAACGCGAGTTGATATTGTCATGGCTAAGAGAGGGTGTGTACTGGATTTTCAGCAGTATTTCTCTGGTTCCTTCAAAGGAGTCCGCTATGAATCGGATCTCCCACCTGCCAAAGTATGGCAGAATCATGCCCCGTGTAAGAAATTCTTGAAATTTGTGACAGGCACGATAATAAAGAGGGTATCGCAAGGAGCCATTGCGGTTTGGGGAATATAAATGAGCCGCCATTCCTTGTGCTTCCTCTGACAGTGGAACCGTCGAAACCTAGATTGTGTCTAGATGCTAGGTTTCTTAACTTTGGATGCGGGACAGCCCGTTGACGTTGGATAAGTTAGTTGACGTCCCAAGATACGTGGTACAGAATTCTTACATAACCAAATGTGATGACAAATCGGGTTATGATCATGTTTTACTCCAAGAGTCTTGCCGAWGTTTCTTTGGCTTTGAGTGGAGTGGCTGGTGGTTTGTTTGTAAAAGCTCTATCAGATTGTGCTCGGGAGAAACTTGCAATTGGAWTTGTCACACATCGCGTCGGGCGACAATAAAGCAGACGGGCCCTCAAGGCGTTTGTCTTGCTTGGATGCAATGCTCTCTCCAAATGCTTGGCAGCAGGTGCAGAAGGAATTTGGGGGTGACCAGGGTAAAACGTTCGACCTTAYGGCACTTGATTCTAACGCCCAGATCGATCATCATGGTTCTCGATTACCACATTTCACGCCTTGGGCCTACCCCGGGCTCGAAAGGGATTGATCTCTTCTCGCAAGATTTGACCGATGGGTGCTTAKATTTACGTAATCCGTATGTGTTCCCACCTTTCTGTCTGATTGGCGCGGTCGTGAGGTTTCCCTAGACTCCGGTCGGAGTTGTGCTCCCATATCTTATTAATAACAATGACATAAACAGAATAATACACTGTGGTGGTACACGGACGACGGAAGGAAGGAATGAAGGAAACGTGCGTACGCGCGGGAACCCTGTGTCGGTCCATGAAAATTGAACTAGATGGATATACCATTTTTTCTTAGCTATGGTGCTCCGCTAGAAAAAAAAAAACACACAAACAATAACACCAAAATTCAACTTGACACTATTTCTAGTGGCAAGAATCATGGAAATAGACTGACGGGTTTCATTATTCAGACGAAATTTCAGATGGCTAGTCCGCACTGAAAGCGTAGAAGATTTTAACTAACTTTATGTTTGATGGTACTTTGTAAACAACAATGAAAACGGTCATATAAATAAACTCTTACTAACCGAGCTTGTTTGATCTAAATTATTGGCTGGGAGGTCAGCATGCAAAATTTAATTTACAGGGAGGTGATTTAAACAGATTAATTTTTCTTTGAAAACAGTCACTGAGCACGGGATTATTAAAAACAGAGGCAGGCAGATTATTCAATTGAATTAAAATTGYTGTTGGAAAAAAGGAGAACTGTTCAGATGCTGTTGAGGTACTCAGAAGAATGAAYGATTCAGCATGAGTGCGCCGRGTGTGTCGAGTTACAGGGCGCAGTAGACCTTTTGTGTCGACAGTTAGGAGACCTCTGGTGATTTTAAATAGAGTTTTGAGACGCCTATTTGCATGGCGTTGTTCAAGGAACCGCCATCAAAGTAGCAGTAACTCCTGCCATATCTCTTAAGTACCACCGAGCARCGTTGTACCATTTCAATCTTGTGTGAGTTATTGTTTTCAAYGCGTGGGCGTGGSTCCCATACACTAGCACAATACTCCGGCTTTGGCCGGACTTTAACCCATAAGATTTCACRCTCAGTCTCCAAGGAGGGTTCTCTACTAGATAACAGCTTACTTGAGACGGCAATGAAAACAATGTGCTCACTCGGTCCCGGCGAAATACGTTGTAATTACCAGCCAATTGGGCAGGAAAAATCTCACCGTCATCTATGTCTGAGTTCAGCCAGAATTTGGTCACAACAACAATATCTGGCCTTGTACAATCAATGAGATTACAGAATTCCGTCTTTTTGTACAAACAACACCATATTTGGCAGCATGAACAAAAGATGTTTGTACCGAATCTAGACCGCAATTCAATGCAAACTTCTATCTCAGAAAAGACCTATTGTATAATTACTGACGATGTGAGTACATCTATAACATTTGGTCTTCCCGTGGTGTGGTCCAAACACGACATAATTCATAGCACGTTGTCGGAGATAACGATTGCAAAGACAAAGACTGCTCTGATTTACTTACAAAATTTGACTTGCTGGGTTGGCATTGCTTTTTGAAACTGGATACTAAATGGAGCCAATGATATTACCACAAACTAATTTACAGCATAAATCAGTTATTATTTACGATAAATTTGCAAAGCCCATGGATCGCTTTGGTCGTGCAATCAACGTTTGAAATTTCAATTTGCCACTGTTTCCGACATTCATTCTTGAAATAGGTATATATAGATTGACGAAAAGGTAGAACTAAACGCCCACTAAACRACTAAAAATAGGATGCTAATGAGCAGAACCTTGGGCTACAATTACAAGTCATTTTCAGGATTTGCAATTATTTCAGCAATTTTAATTAATTGCAAATCCTGAAAATGACTTGTAATTGCTTTTAAAAACGCTTTTTGWAAAWTTCTCGACTAACTTACTTTTCATCACACTGCAAGAACTTCATATCCAACATATGTCTACTGGTAAAAGTACTTCTATCAAGAGGAACTTCAAAGGTAGTTGCGAACATCAACGGTACCGCAATAGCAACCAGAAATAAAGGCACTTTTTCCTCTCTGCCGTCATCATCATAACGTGTGGTGTATTTCATGCTGCCAGTACAGTGAACAACCTACAAAGTTAAGTACCCATTTGTTCAGTGCCTTCTAACGTAAATACATTATTACAACTATAAAACTTATACTACAGGCTAATTACAAGACACATTTCATGTGTACGTGAAATATAGTTTAAATAGTTTCTAACGAAACCTTCTGCGTGCTTTAGTAACTAAGTTGTAATGAAGTATGTTCTCATTGTATTTTCCTCTTCTTAAATCTCTTCTGGTTGAATGACAAGTATCTACTAATTAATAGATCTTAAATAATCATAGTTATACTAGAGGGAGATCTCTAATGAGTAGCTACAATTTTGATTTTGCTTCAGAATTACACTCTGGTTCATGTTAACCTCTTTTAAAGTATAATCAATTTTTTTAAATCAAAACGAGGATAGTTCAGCTTAGTTAGCACGCGGACTGTGAACTCTCCTATTCTTATTATAAGATGGCATTCCGCCAATTAGTGTATGGTTTTGGCCTTCGTCTCTTGACTCTCTTGAACAGGGGTTTGCAATTGACCTTCAGTTGTCTTGAAAAGGGGTGTACTTGTACGGTGAAATATGGTCAAAATATTTCATATAATTAGTCAGCAAATAAAAACTAATAGTTAATACTTATTTGATTATGTCTCACGGTACAAGTGTGTTGACTCAATTTACGGAAACACTGACTGGTTTATGTCTACATTTTAACTTTTGAATAGGGTATGAAATTTCACAATTTTTATAAATGTATAAAACTGTGATTGTAAGTAACAATTCAATGTAATATATTATCAGAATACCCTGTAAGTTGAGGCTCTKAGGTTCACATTCTTCCCTCTGCTTGTAAGTGTRCTCTTTATACGAAGGAAAAATGACCTGTGTGGATTGACATCATCTTTTTTCTTGGAACCCTTTTTCAGATAATTGCTCATCATGAAGACAGAGTCAGAACAGAACAGGCCATCAAATATCTCCATATCTTCAAGAGGAATTTGTCCTCCAAGCTGATTAGCCAGCTCCTCATGATCGCAAGGGTGAACATATTTGTAAAGGCTATTTCCAGTAACTTCAATCTAACGATGCAAAACTAACACRWTTTAGCCAATTATTCCTTGTAACTTAGAAAAACAATAAGCAAAACAAAGCATTTTCATTTGTTATGACATAGGGTAGTTGGTGTAGGTAGCAAGTGAAGTGAATGAAAACATGTATCCATCTAAATCACGTAACCTAACTAAAATTGCAGTTGGATAAGTGTGCTGTGTTGATCTTGAAACAAGGAAGCAAGGTGCACTGTGAAGAAAATTTACTACCTGATGGTAAGGAAATGAGTGAGATGGATGAGAGTGGGTATAAGTACTTAGGTGTGTTGGAAGGGGCTGATATTATGCAGAAAGCAATGAAGCAGAAGGTGAGAGATGAATACTTGAGGAGGGTGAGCTTGTGGCAAAATCCAAGTTGTATGGCTGTAATTTGATCAAGGCAATGAATGCTTGGGCTGTTAGTGTGGTAAGGTACAGTGCTGGTATCTTGGACTGGAGTGATCGAGAGTTAAAGGAGATGGATGTAAAGACTAGAAAGAGGTTGCCAATGTTTGGGACATTTCACATGAAGGGGAGTGTTCCAAGATTGTACATGAAGAGGAAGCATGGTGGTAGGGGACTGATCAGTGTTGTTGATTGTGTGAGAGAAGAAGAGCTTGGTTTTGATGAAGAGGAAGCATGGTGGTAGGGGACTGATCAGTGTTGTTGATTGTGTGAGAGAAGAAGAGCATGGTTTGTGTGGGTATGTGAAAGCCAGTGAAGAGTGGATGTTAAAGGTGTTTGGTGAGATAGTAGAAGTTGGTGAGACGAAGAAGGAGTATAAGAAGAGGGTACAGAATGAGAGGAGGGAGAATTTTCTGCAGAAGAGGCTTCACAGAAAGTTTATGAGAGATGTGAGTGAAGTTGCTGATGAGAGGTCATGGCAGTGGTTAAGAGCAGGGTATTTGGGAAAGGGCACCGAGGGGTTTGTACTTGCAGCACAAGAACAGGCTTTGAGGATGAGGTTTTTCCGAGCCACGATCCAAAAGGAAGCTGTTGATCCAAAGTGCAGGGTTTGTGGTAACAGAATATTACATGGTTCCTTGGAGATACAAATTTTATCTTCTCTTGTGGAAGATCTTTTCAACAGTCAATCATAAAATTTATATCTACACCTCCATGTAATATCCTCTATTTCTTACAAATTGAATGAAAATCAATCATGGCATTAATACAAAACTGATTGAAAGTTATTAAAATGGCCACCATATTGTTGAAGTGGTCCATTATTTCAGAAGTGACACTTACTTTTTTGTGAGTATTTAAAAGAATGCTAACTGCACCATTAAAAATAGGGGTACAACAGTGATAGTACAATTACTAAAAGTTTGAGAAGGCAAGTGTCTGAACAGAGTCTTCAGTCCCATGGTGTTTTTAAAGATGACATAATAGACGAAAAAAGTCATAGAATGATTGGATACCTGTGAAAGTCCCATGAAGTAGCTAACATTATCAGAGATATACAAACATTGACCATCAGGTGCCACAACGTACAAAAAACCATCCATTGCCTAAATTCAAACAGAATAGTAAATAGTAATAYTCCAACATAGTCAATAACACAGAAAGAAATATTATTTCTACCTCTAAAGCTTCTTTATCATATACTGAAGTTCTTGTTATACTCATTTTGTGCATTTGTTTTGGATCTGGGATTAAAAAAACCCTGTTAAAAATTCCATTTGATAAATACTCATAACTCATTGATAATACCAATAAGTCAATTATCTTAATCATTTATTTCTAACTAAATTATGAAAATCTGTGCTGGCCAGTCACTGAAACACCATCTCATACTTGGTGCCTACACAGGGCTCTCAAACCTATTTTAATAGGTTTGAAAAGATTTGAAATTTAAAAATTTCAAATCTTTTCAAATGCTAAACCAATAAAAAATAAAAAAAACTAAGCTTCTGAAAAACCACTCATATTTCACTCAGCTATATTCATTTTTTTTGCAAAATACAGTGTAAATAAATAAATAAAGAAATCAATCAATCATTCTGCCTGCCTGCCTGCCTGTCTCTTTTGTAACTCATTTTTCTCGAACCTATCTTTATAATGAAATCGTAAAATTATTCTTTTCTGCTTCCTGTGTGTAAAGGTCAGGTGCTTAACCTCAGTCTTAAAACTTAAAACACCCCGAAGAATTATTTGATTTTATCTAATAAAAAAGTGACAAAAGCGACATATTGTGCTATATCAACAAAGAATTTTGTTCAAAATTCGGTTGTTCCCTGGTAGCTATGTAGGATAGACACAAACCCTTACCTTTCTAATCTCTCAAAGTTTCAACAAGTGTTTTGAAATATTTCAAAAAAATGAAGGTTAGGTTGTGTAGTTATTCACCTGCTGACATTCTTACGATTTGAAATTAGCTCAAAAAATGACTTCAAATTTGAARAGTTCATAACTTCGCGAGGTTGAAACTGATTGAAGCGATTTCTTGAACAATGAAAGTTTTCTGTCTTAGTAATATGCCTACGAAAAAGATGATAAAAAACTTTTGAGTTTTTCTTATTGATTTTAAGGATTTTTGTCGAAGGTATCGTATGTGACAAAACTCGAGCAATTTTCAAATTTTTGAAAGGTCTTAGCCTTCTTGGTAAGTTCCGTCATTCACGAATTCAACAATAGATGCACTAATGATATATAGTAAAAGCACACAGATTGGTATGCACAAACTGGTCGGAACCATTGTTAATAGCAAAGAAGTAACCATCCATTTGAAAAAAAATTGAGCTCTCATTGTTATTTTTGTATATTTTTTTTCAGGGCAGGTATGGTTCCAAATAGGCCTTGAAGTTTTAATGCTAAAAAATTCAACCAAAATACATAAGAAAAACTACCAAAGCAAATGAAAAAAGTTTTTGAAAACCTCCTCAAGTATAAAATAAGCCAGTTACATACGGCCCGAGGGATGTATAGGCTGATACCGATGTTCTCGGTATGTAACTCTTACTTAGACGATATAATGAAATCATGTTGATTGGTTTAAATATCATCGTATTGTATTGAATTAAACTTTCCAGGTAATACGTCACTTTTGTAACTTTTTTACTTTACATGTAAAAGCAATTTTTTTTCTGATCTACATTTTCTTGCAAAAAATAGCATACTTTGTTTTTTGGTTTTTTTTTCGTCTTAATATATTTATTAGTACATTACTACATTAATTAGTACATTACTACTAGATAATAATGACTAAATATCATAAGTTACTATTTACAATTGAAGAGAGCTTTGCCATAAGCGAAGCCCACAAAGATGTTGTTATTGACAATAGAAGATATTTTTACAAGATATTTTTACGAGATATTTTTACAAGATATTTTTTGGGTTATTTACTGAAATATAGAAATATGTCTAGCTATTTCTATACATGAACATAACATTTGAGATATTTTAAAGATGCTTCTTCATGACAATATTTGTATTTTTTTCCATTTCCTTTCATGCATGTCTAATTTTCCTTTTGAAACTGCTATTCGTTTTTCAATTATTTCAATTTGAAATAAAGTGTTTTTGAAGACTTGGAGTGAGGGTGGTGCCTTTTTTTCTCTGTATTTGTATAATAATAATTTCTTTACCAAGATAACCATATTTACGAACATGTTTTCTACGCCTAAGATGATGTCTATGTATGTTAAGTTTGGTAGTAAGATGTCGAAATTTTTAAGCCARTCTCTTATTTGAATATACAGGTTTTTGGATTTTATGCAATCTATAAATAGATGTTCGACTGTTTCTATGTGATATAAACAGAATGAGCAACAAGGTGAATTACTAATATGAAAACGGTATAAGTCACAATTAAGATATAAGATATTACTAATGATTTTATATTGAAAATATCTCAGGTAARAATCTATTGTCAGTTATTGAATAAATTCGGTTATACACTGTTTCCCAGTCAATTTTYMTTTCTAATTTGTGCTCAATGTTTTTGTGCCGATGGAGGTTTAAAAATATTACTTATTAAATGCCCATAGATTTGTTTACTTGTAATTTTTTGTAAATTAATCTTTTTCCCTTTCAGGTACAAGGAGCGGCATAAATAAATACTTTGTTTTTATCAATTGCAGAAAATGGAAAACAATGTAGGGGTTAGGGTTAGGTTTATAATAGATATATTAGGATAGATTGAAGCACTCTTGACCATTTACATTTAATGTGTTCCCTTATTTGTGACCATTGTAACAACGAAACAAGTATAATGATAATGAGCGGTCTTTAATTAATGACAATGATGAGGCTGGTAGCTGGKAATACAGGTCATTTCGCCCAGAAGACTGTTTGCACAAGTTGTTTCGCCCATATTTCGGACCCTTCACACAATTTTAAGAAGACACTTCGAACAGAAAATTACAAGTAAGCAAAATAGTTTTATTGAGATTCTTACTGTACTATAAATAAATTCCTAATTACTACTAATTTGTATACACAATCGATCGAACACGGTACCACGGTCGGCGCATTTTTCTCTTAACCTGCCTTTGTTGTTCTGTTTATCCTGTTTGGTAAGGAAGCTTTTGGCTTTTTCTTTGCCATTTCGAAAATTGTTGTTGATATCTTTTAAGTTAGACTTATTAGGATGAAATATCTGAATCTGAATCTGCTAGAAGAAACACGCTAATAGAAACACGCTGAGGCTGAACAAGGAACAAAGTCAAAGAAATCTACACAAAAATGTTTTTACTAGATTTTGTAGATGGCAAACTTCAAGTGTTTATTTCTTCCACTGTTTTAGAGGGCGCTATTTCTGAATTTTATTGGTATACAAACTTCAAATCTACGTAAAATGGCTACGTGGCCAAGTAGAGAATAAATTAAAATTCGTCGCCTTGCGCCGCGTACGGTTTATTGAACTCCTTCGACACGAACTGGTATGAACAGCAATGCTACTAGTAAATCACTGGATTGCTAAGAGCTTCAGAAAAAAATCAAGCTGCCAATGGCGATACAGCTCGAAGATTGTTAGACAAGTATACCATGGACATAAATATGTATAAAGCCTCAGACTTTGTTCAGATATGGTCTAATTTCGACAAAAAATCTATAAAATGAAAATATTGAACTTGAAATTTTGAATTTAATAATTTATGCATCCGTAACACCTTAACGATATCGACAATGAACTATCAACACTATCACAATTTCTTAGTTTGAAGTGATGATACTTTCACTTTGAATGCTGATCGTTAAAATTTATATTTTGAGTTCTTACTTGTTGTAGTGTAGTCCGTGCATGGATTTTTTACGAAGGATTAAGTTTATATGAATCGATGAGCATTAAATACTGATCGACATATATTGGAATAATCCTTGAAATCATCGTAATAGAATGCTGTATCTATGAGCCATATTTACACTATATCTCCTAAAACGACTTCTGAAATCAACAGATTAATTGGTAAGAAGATTATACTAGAACGTCCAGACCTCAAATCACATTTTGTGTTTAAAAAGCCATTTCTGTATCAAAACATCTGGCCATCTTGGTTGTAACGGATTTGTAAATGCTCATATGTTTACAGAAAAAATAAGTGACCTATTAACTAGTCCACCTCACCTCACACACCATCATCTATCTCCCTCCTATAACTCTTCGATTGCTTCACAATATTCGAGTTAAAAACAGATCCAGATCGTTTGATTGTTAATCGCCACGATGTTGAAGCTAAATTTCAAGCATATTCGAAGCTCAGTTGATGGTCACTCGACAATTGCGCTTCAAAAAATGGCCTTAAAAGTGCATTTACAAAACTTTGCCTGTTTGTTTACAGCCCCAGTAGAAAAGACTACCTAAATACAGCCCCCCCTTATTTTTTTCTTTTACTAATTTCACTCTAGTCTTGATCATCCAAGTATTTGGAAATTTACAAATTTTAACCAAGTCGCGCATTAAGTTGAAGTTGACAGCGGTTCGAGGGTTTAGGCTTCAATAATTCTGTTCTGTCATTCCTCAACTTTTTCCGAAACTAGTCGTGCTGTAATTCTGCATCGCCAGAATAACACTATCAACAAACTAGATTTTTTGAGATTGATAAAAGAAAACCTAACCAATAAAAGTATCTTTTCGCATCTGTATAAAGACACAGTAAACTGTAGTGACTTGTTTGTTTACGTCTGACCAATTCTGTTTTGTGTTAACAGAATCGCTGATACGTCATTCCATACTCAGTAGAAGTTGAAAGTCTCCCCGTGCTAAATCTAAGACGAAAGTCAGGTGACTTTGAACTCTGAGAACCACGTGATCAAAATCGGTCATCATGATGGATTTTGCTCACATTTGGCGTTGTGGATTCTGTACGAATTATGCTAGATTATTATCCAAAATATATCCAAAATGCAAAGAAAAAGTTCTCCAAAGCTATATTTGGAACATTTCAAACTCTAGCTGTGACAATTAAGATGATTAAAACGTAATAAAGCTGTCTCAAGTGATCAAGTGTTCTAGAATATCGCGTTCGTATTGAAAAGCCATACAAATGTCATTTTATAAACAGTAGTAACCGTTATAGTGGTGTATTAGTAGTGATTATGATGACAATGATAGCTGTCTATTAGTAGTCTTGTTATGGTGTTTATAGTGGTGTATTAGTAGTGATTATGATGACAATGATAGCGGTCTATTAGTAGTCTTGTT